AAACTCTACGAGATTCTGAATTGGAATAATAGGCCCTGGTTAGTTTAGGTCCCACTCAGGATAATAGCATACTATTGTGACCAATCGATGAAGTGCCAGAAAGATGTGAGGTCACAGCTATCTCTGTAATGATCAAGACACACAAAAACTCACTTGATGGGAGGGTTTCGGTGATAAATCGTCACGTGATATGACACCGAGTTATAACGTCCATAAATTTTCTTACAAACTATACACATAAAGCCTGCGTCTGTCTTCTCGATGTACTTCTTGTTACGACACCATCCTCAAAACAGCTATTTCTTTGGCAACAGGTCGAAGCATCTTTAAACCTCAAGATTCAGTATTTTACCTTCTTTGTCCGTACTTGGAATGATTACATCGCCAAGATTGTCGAAGGGTTCTTCAGTATCAAGAGAATGAGCCTTTTTCATTTCTCTAACTTCAGCTTGCGCCCTTCGTTTTTTACACGATTTATCATCAGCTGGCTCTTGGCTTGGAGATGCAGGATGTAGTTGCGACATAAACATCTAAATCATTAACTTTATTGAGTTCCACTTGCATAGAGATCAAAAGAAGCTTACCTGAAGGAAATTAGCAGCTTGCAGCTGTGAGTGCAAGTTCAATAGAAGAAAAGGGTTTGGAACAGGCGAAAATATGGGAACGGGAGAAGGCAGATGAGGTGGGAAGGGGACTGTTGACGTCTGAGGGCCTAAAACGAAGCCTGTAGTCGGTACGTGGGAAACTAACAGAGAAGAAGGACTTTACCTGACTTAGGCTGAGGAGCAGGAAGACTTTCTCGGAATCTCTCTTGTAGTGCGAGTATCTGGCATTCATCTGCGACTGAGAGCATCTAAATACACAATCTTTCATTGAAACGAGGCACATGAAAAGCGGTACCTGTTCGCTTGTGCAACCAGCTAACTCAAAATTTCCAGTGTTTAAGTAAGCCATAACTTTATTGAAAACAAGCTCAGCGTTGGCACTTTTTAAATGGAGTTGTAGAAGTCGGGTTTCCTTAAAACGTACACATCAGCTATGCAATTAGCGATGACACTGCTAGGATTCAACAGAAAAAGAAGTGATGGATGTTATCAGTGATCAGGCCCTTTCAGAAGGCAGTCGTTTATGGCGGTGAAAGTCGCCGCTGAAGCAGCGTTTGATGGCAACTGTACGTTATGAGCAGTTCTGTTATCAGCGAATTCCGAGATCACGGGATGCCTTTTCCCTGACGAATGGCTGCCAAGCGTAACGGATCCGAGGAGCGAAACCGGAAGCGAATTTCGATCTCGAAGAGGGTTACGTTTTAAAGCCACTTCAGAGACAAGGTAACTCTGAGGACTTCAAAAGTAAATTAGCTTGGATATGGCGTATATAAACTGACAAAGTTTTCTTTGAAAAAAAAA